GTTTTGTTTTATTTCCATGGWTTCTTAAAACGGGGAAAAAAAGATGAAAGAGCTATTCATTTACTCATGCAGATGGACGTGTCACGTGTACACTTTTGTGTTAAGCACACAGCAAGACCAATTTCAATTTCCAGCAGGGTGTTCTGGTCGCCCTAACACCCTGCTGGATCAAACAATATTTTGCTTTCATTTTGTCACATTTTTTTTTCACTGATGTGACAGGACTATTGTGTATGCACATGGAGACACACACACACACACACTGAGCCATGGGTGGAAAGAGTCTTAAACAAAAATAATAAAATAAAATAAATTCAAGTTCAATGCTCAACTTAATAAAAGTGAAGAGACTGAATTTGCATGTTGTACCAGAGTGAATATGTTCATGTTCACAGTAAGCTGTGAAAAGGACAAACGGACATTAATACACTCATACACAAATGAACCGTGCCAATTCTTACCAAATGCTACGCCAGAGTTTGTATGAACAAGCATTTATATGTACTCCCTAACTTACCTGAATAACTATTTACTGCTGCTGTTGTCCTTACAATATATCTCGGTGCTCCTTTGCTTTAAGAAAAATATAAAAGTCCATGTTCAGGCTATACACCATTCTATGTAATAATGCATTTCTACCTGTGTGTTATTGCGCATGTGTGCCTCAAAGATATGGTTTCTAATTGGATTCCCACACTCCAATCCACTCTGTTTAAGAATGCGTTGTTTATTGGAAGGTTTTCTTCAGTTCCGTCGMTGTTACAAGGCCTCTCGGAGCTCATCAGCTCCCCTCCTTCCCCCTCCTCCCTCCCCTGCCTATATTAGCTCCATAAATCCTGTTCTAGTCGTATTGTTATGGTCATTGTGTGTGCTGTGAGCGATGGTTATTATCTGCCTGCTGTGCTCACACTACTTTATGTGTCTCGTCTGTTTTCTCCATTTTTTTTCTTTCTCTCTTTTCTCGTTATATACCATCACTATCTTCTGTTCTGTAGCTCTCCATCCGTATCCACCCTCTCCGCTTCCCTCTCCTTATTAGTGTACAGTACTTATTATTTACTGTCCTCTCCTAACACCACTTTCACATTCTCAGGTTTACCAGTTTTATCTTGCTTTCTCTCAGATTTTTCTTTTTATACAGATGCAAACACAACAAATATTGTGTTTAGTCCAAGCATCATTTAATGTGAAAATGTCTTAATTTGTTTGATATTATGTGTTTAAGAAAATTGAAATCCCAGGTCACCCCCAGCTTGAATGCTAAAACAAAATACATCTCTTTTTTTTCATGTACTGAAGTATTTACATGGCAGATTGGTTGCACCAGATTTAATAGAAATAAAGCAGGATTTGATAAGCAGCCGAAGTGTTCCATGTGTATAGGAGTTACACATATACCAAATATATTTTAAATCAACTATTTAGGATATATATATACATATATACACTCCTGATCAAAATCTTAAGACCAGTCAAAAAAGTGCAAGAATTTGCATTTTGCACTATTGGATCTTAAGAAGGTTCTAAGTAGAGTTCCACAATGTTAAAAGAAGAAATCAGTGCAAGAGACAAGAACTTTTGAGCAGGGAATTTTCTGAAAACTGCATTTACAC